AATTCCTCAGAGCCCCAGAGACCACTAAGATCTCTGGCGGACTCCTCCCTGTGTAGGATGATTCGCAGAGGAAAGTTGAGAAGGAAGACTGGCTGAAAAGTGCTGAGCTGAGATGCAGCCGAAAGTAAAATGCAGGCAACAGTCCAAAGCATCTGAGGAGCCAAACAAGGGCAGTGGGAATGGAGAGAAGGGAATTTGAGAAATGGTTGGGAGATAAAACGAGCAGGCCGAATGTTCATCTTGGTTGTAGATGCATAAAATGTCACCAGGGGATTCCCAATGAATGGCACTTGTCGCCAGTGGATAGGGGAAGCACATAACTGGGGAAAGGGGAGTCCTTTGATTATATACCCATTTTTATCTTTTGAATCACATGAAGGTAGTACCTGCCACAAAAATAAGTTTTTAAAAAAGACATAGAGGTTATTGAAATGAAATGCTTCTGGGTAAAAATCTACCCAGATCTCTCTTCAGACGACTCTAAAGTTTCACACTGCATTTTTGAATTCAGATTATTTTTGCCCCAAAGGTTCCAGGACCACATGCATGACTGAACCTTAAGAAGGGCCAATCTCTCTGTTGAGCTGGGTGAAAACATTATCAAACTGAACTTGGCATCATATAAATCAGATAAATAACAGTAAATAACTATGTAGTTACATTCAACCAACTTAACAGGTAGTTGTCAAAATACCAGAATGAAGAAAGTTTAGTCAATTAAGTTAGCTTGATCTTTTAAATTTTATGGTAAATAAATGAGGCACATGGAAGAATCTATTAATCTGATTCATTAAAACAGAGATGAATCAAATAAATTACTGATATGAAAGAGGTCAGATTTGAGGTTTGGTGTGGTGAGTGTTAAGCTAGTTTAGGCTAGCCCCTTGGCTAAAAATGACTTTTTAAAAATTATATGAAATGAATCTCCTGTTCAGTCTAATAAAGCACATAAGGTAGATTCCAGAAATAATTGACTTAAATTGAATGGTTTGACCAATTTTAAATTGGTGGTAAGTGGACGTAAATTTAATATTACAAAATAAATGGAATTTAGTTTTGCAAAACTATGGAACATTGTTTTCCATTTGGCTATATAAGCTCAAATATACATAAGTGGAATTTAGTTTTGCTAAACTGGGGAACATTGTTTTCCATTTGGATATATAACCTCAAATATACTAAACTTGCAACACTTATTCAAAATATACTTAATGGAATCGATTAAACTTGCTAATCAAAAACATATGTGTCCAGAGATCGATTCTGCAAATGTTTTCACTTGGTTTTATGTATTATGTTTTGCCTTGTTTCACAAAGGATATGAGTCAGCTTTAAATAATAAATTCAATAAAGTGGGAAAATGTAATTAGATGAAAATCAGAAATGAGAAAAACAAGGTAGAACAGAAGCTCAATACCAAAGGGAAAGTTAGAACATCAATATTAGATCATAGGTTTTTATAGGGTTATTAAAATCAAGTTGCAAATTTGATTCTGCATTTGCTAGTTGCCAAATCAGAAAGGGAAATATAATCAATTATCCGATGCTAGTTTTGCATGATGAAAAAAAGGCACACAACATTTGTGCAGGGCAAGTAAATCTTTTCTTTGGCCTCTATCGCTAAATGGAACTTCCCTGGGTCTTCACACAAGAGCTGCAAAAGGAACGATGATCTTGGTAAGGACATCTCTTAAGTAAACTAACTTAGGTTCGTTGTAACTGCTGTTATAGTAGAATCCCTCCACATATGCACAGTTGGGGGGTGGGGTGCAAGAGCTGCAAAACAAGTCACCAAAGTACATCATTTCTGAAAATTTGGCTAGACTCCTGGTCTAACATCTAGAATTGGAACGGAATGTGTGGACCTTATGGCCTTTATTACCAACCTTCTAGAACCATCATTTCTCTCCATTAAGATTCAGATCAAATTCATAAGCTGACAACTGATATTCTCTGGCATGTACAGAAATAAAGGCATTCTACACCATTGTTCAGGGGAGATTAGTAGACAACAATTATTCTTCAACCACCACCTCTCCATATTTGAAATTCAAGGTCATACAAATTTTCTTTTCCATACTTTCTCTGCAACCATAACAATTTTGGTTCCAACATATGTAAATTGAGTGGATCCCACTGGATGTAAAGAACAACAACAAAACTTATGGGCTGGGATAAAAAAGAAAAAAAAAAAGGACAGTAAATAACATTTAGCAAGGAAGGGATAGAGGTTTTGGCAATAAAACCTTAGGAAAGATACAGAACAGAAAGGAAGGACAGACTATACCTGGTCTTAGAATTGCATTCTAGCGGTGTATATGGAGGCGGGATGTTGGGGGTTCACCAGACAGGGCCCTGATAGTGAGTCATCCAATCACAGAGGCACTGTGCATTTGGATGTAGGACACACACAGAAAAATGCCTCTCCCATTCTGAGCTTAAAAACTAGCTCTTACTTGACTGGTTTCAAGGCCAAGATGGTCAGCACAGCCCAAGTACTCAATTTTTATTTGTCAAAGGAACAAGTAAGTGTTTACTATCTGCAACAAAGTAAAAAGAGTTTACTGTACCCACAGCTGCGGGCTCTTTTGAGAAATTAAAGTGAACAAGTAAAAACAATGTGAATTAACTGCTCAATATTCTTGATTACAAATGTAAGATGTATAAAATGTAATTATCTTTATTTGGGGAGGACTTTTGCTTCATTTTAATAAATCATAATATTTTTCATATGTTCCCTCCCCGTGTTGGTTCCCCCAATCTTACCACCTTTTACATAAAAGTGTGATTTCCTCACCATCTAGGAAAGGCCCAAATAGGCTGGAGAAGCAATAGCAATAAACTATGGTTTACTGTTATTTTATGAAAATAAGTCTTTGGGGTAATATGTAGTGAGGATAGCAGCAAGGTATTAAAATGACAAAAAAGGGGCACCTGGCTGGTTCAGTCTGTGGAGCATGCGACTCTTGATCTTGGGGGTGTGAGTCTGAGCCTCATGTGGGGTGTAGAGATTACTTAAAAATAAAATCTTTAAAAAAAATTAAAAAATGACCAAAAAAGAAAGCAAATAAAAGACTGGACCACTCCCAGATAATTGTGTTAAACAAAGTTACTGAAAAAAAGGTTAATACTGATTCATAAAGCTTACATAACAGGAAAATAAAAACAAAATCAAAACAGGAAATTTCACAGTGCAAAAATAAAGCAAATGAAATATGATGCAGTTATCCTTGATTCTTCCAAGATAACATAAAATTTAAAAGCAAAAAGACACTGAATCTTCCAAAACCCTGATTTCCAAATTGTGAAATGTGGAAGGCAGCTATGCTCACCACTATACCATCAACACATGCAAACTGTCAAATTTGGAAATTGATATGCTTATATAGTAAGGAAAACCTGTACAGTTGAAAATATGTATCTATACCATATATTTTGAATCATTTAGGAACCACAGACACCCCTAAATGCTTTATTTTTACCTTTACCTGTAATAAAATACATTATAATTAGATCATCTACAACTCAAGTCTAAACGGAGTTAATACGTCACTTATTAACCGAAACACTGTTACCTCTGGAGTAGCAGAATCTTCTTGTAAACATGAATTGTATTTTTGAAATTGTGTTTGAGAGTTTAATAGAAATATATTTGATTACCAACAAGACTAGAAAATCTGCAAGCTGACATGAAATGCACTTACATTAAGGGTTGAGGAGAATCACTTCATTTAATAACACAATTTAAAAAAGGACAGCATGTGGTCCTAAGAATGCCAAAATTCATACTTAAATATTAAGACAATTTAATTTGACACTTCATACAAACAGGCAATTTTAAAAATCCAGTTAAACTTCAAGAGCCACAAGACAAATACACTGTAATCCTAAACTGTTTTTAGATGAAGCCTGAAACACACACAGCTCATTCAACAAATAACTAATGAGCACCCATCACGCACCAGACGCAGAGCATTACAGAACTGAACAAGACTCTCCTCCTGGAGCTGACACTGGCTCATTTTCCAAAGCTCTAAACCTTAACACGTTAATATAAAATTGGAATTCACAATGACCTACTTTCCAAAACTCTAAACCTTCTTGCTTATTATAAAATAAAATTTTAAAAAAGATAGCCCCTGAAGAGATAATCTTGCCCAAAGCCCTCATGTATGAACTTCACACTTGGGGAAAAGAAAGAATTCATAAACCAGTTTCTCAAATACACAAACAGTAACACCTACTAGGCTGCGCCCAAGGCTGCCTCTGCTGGCCGCCTGGGTGCATCCTTCCAGCAGATTCTCAACTCCCGACACCTGTGTCAAACTTGCCACTCTTAAAACACATCCCTTCACGAAAGCAGGAGGTTCCTGAGTAGGCAACACGAGAATACCCCAGCCTCATCTACCTCCGGAAAAATCTGACTTCTAGAAGGACCTTCCCTAATTGGCCCTAAAATGTTTATTGTAAGGGACTGAACCATCAATTGTATTCATACACAGCCAGTTCCGAAATATACAAAAAATCCCCGGCGACTTCTACGTGCTGCTAAAATAACGCTTTGCGTGGCTACACGTTTAGCTAAAACAGGAAGAACGCATCTGCTCATTCAGCCGAAACATTACGGTGACATATTTCTACCTGAGCTGCTGAAAATCCAACGGTACTCCTCCCCCCTCCCCAGCCCCGGCCCCCAAATAAGCCACTAGCCCACGGGTCCTCCCCACCCCCGACCGCCGCGCGCAGCCCACTGGGCCGGGAGGCGGGCGGGTGGGGAAGGGTCGAGCTCTCCTTCGCCTCCGCTCGGCCTTCCGAGCTCCAGAAGAGGTTGTCAGGTTAACAGGGTCTGCGCCCAGCGCCATTAGCACACCTCCGAGCGCTCCGCCGAGCCCGGGCGGGAGGCAAGTTTGGCCGGTCCCGGCCCCGGGCCCCTGCCTCTCCCCAGCGGCAGCATCAGCTGCGGCCGGCGGCGAGGACTGGTCCTCGCCTCACCCACCTACCTACAGGGCGGGGGCGCGGGCTCCTCGGGTCCGGGAGAAGGGGATCGGGCGCACGCATTTCTGGGAGCGGTGGCCTCTGCTGCTCGACGCGGGGGAGCGCATCCTCTAGGGTGGGTGGAAGGAGGGGTCGGGGGAGGTTCGTGCGGCTAGGAGGAGCAGGGGCGGGAGGGAGGAGCGCCGAGGCGCGTGCCCCCGGGGACTGGCGTCCGGAGCTGGTGGACTCGGGCGCCGCCAGGACTCCTCACGCCTCTCCTCAAGCGCGGCACCTTGCCAACCCTGCAGCTGCGCCCGCGGTCAGGGCATCGGCCGCGACAGGCCTGGCGGGAGGCGGGGAACTGCGGGTGGCGCGACGCGGTGCAGACGCCCGCCTCTAGCCCCGCCCGGGCCGCGCCACGCTCTGCGCCCCTCCGCAGCGGCGGGGGCCGGGGAGCTCAGCGACGGGGCTCGGCTGCTCGGGTTGCGGCATCTTCCCCGCCCCGACGACCTCCGAGCTGGAAGGCTGGGCACCCCCGCCACCCCCGGCTGCTGCAGCGTCCGCTGTCCCGGCGCAGTCCCAGCCCTAGCCGGGCGGCTCCGCCCCGGAGAGCTGCGCGCGCGGCCTCCGCAGGCCTCGGCCCATTGTGACGCGTCCGAGAGGGAGCTCGCTGCTACCCGGCCGGCCGGACGCCGGGCGGTGGAGTCTGGGAGGGTCTTACCTCGCCCCGGGCCGCATCCCCTACAGCTGGCCCGCCGTGGCCACCACTCTTCGTGGGAAGTGAGGCTTTGAGAGCAGAGCTGGAGTTATAAAGCGTCTCCCCGAGTCTTAAAGCCTTGAGTTTCCTTCCAGCTTAGGGACCACTGGCCACAATAAATTCATCCGTCTGTCCTTTCCGGCGTTACGTTTCGCAAAGGGGCCCAACATATCCTCCCCCTCCCGCTCCCGACCCTGGTACAGCATCCCGGACGCTGCCAAACTGCAATCACTTCAGCAGTAGGGACGTAGCAATTGGGTTCTCCGGACCGGCTCTTGGCAGAAACCCGAGAGAGCCTTGGTTGGGAGGATTTGCATCAGCAATGGGGCAGTGCTGGTGAGCTTCCCATCCCCTCTTGGGAGCTGTTTCCTCTAAGGTCCCATGACCAGCACTGCAAGATGACTAGGAGGATTTGGCCTTGAGGTTTACCCTTACACACAGAGAAAAAGAAAAAAAAAAGTCAAGGCACAGTCTGCAGCTGGTCTGATAACATTGGTACGTCAGAGGCCATACACACAGGCACACTAGATAGCGGCCTCCTCTGGGTTGTTGATGCTGCTTATGGGCTTTGGGATTTCAGTTGCAAGTGGTCATGTTATACTATTTTGCAAGGTATGGAATAATTGCCCAATTCTGTACTGAACATATATAAAATTGGACCTCCGGTTTACATCTTTAGGCGTTGTGTTATTTGCAAGTTATTTTCAAGGAAAAATTAGACTCGTAAAATACAAAGAGCTGATTTTATTGAATCAAAAGATTGATTAGGATCTCCAGAAAAAATCAGCTGAGCCATTCTCACACTTGTTTGATGAGTGCTTTCATGATTTTGAAATCTAAGGTTACTTTTTTAAAATGGGCAAAGATAAGACATGTTCCATAGCAGTACAAACTGATAAAATCGCTAAGACTTCTTGAGAGGAGTTTCACGTGGAGCAAGGTAGGAACTGAAATGCTTAGGAGTCAGGAAACAGTGGCACATGACTTGGCCACTTTGAGGACTGATCTAGAGCTCCAGTTTATATTCAAAAGATACCATTTATTATTCATGATATTTTACCTCCAAATTCAGAATAACTCAGTTATAGAAACGTTTATGTATATATGTGATGCATAAATGACAGAACGAAGCCACTTAAGGAGAATTTCGCAGTTGCTTACTCTATCAATGCTTACTTATAAAGAAGTCTGCCTTAGAATGCAGTTTATAGGACATTTGTAGAAATGTTCAATGAGTTGCAATTCTTGACTGTTTCCATCCTTTTGCCACCAAGAGTCCCCTTCTGTTTTTCTTTATATAGACCCCATGTTTTGGCAAGAAACTAGTGATCTTTTTTATTAGACAAAGATAGAACTGAGTATGTATTTTAAAAGTAGTAAGCATCAATTTATAAAATGTTTGCCAGCCTTTCAAGAACATTGAAGGTAACTTAAGGATCCTCTTTCCTATCTTCAGGAACTCCTCGAGGACTGCATACTGTATCATATGCTTATTATAACATTACAGTGGAAGTCCTGGTATAATAGAGATTTCTGCTCCCCGGCTTAGAGGGAGAGAAAATCCCCTCTTAAAGATTCTTCACTAGTTCCTTCTCATTAATTTAGCATTTGTTGATTTGCCCAAGCTCTGTCCTTCTGGAGAAATCAGAAGAAACAAAATCATTCCCTTATCCTCTAGTGTGCTAGATGTGTGCTGTCCAACAGTAGCCACATGTGGCCACTTAAATTTAAATTAAAAATGTATTTTTTCATTCCACTAGCCACACTTCAAGTGCTGAAGAGTCACACATGGCTAGTGATTACTCTTTTGTATAGAATAGAACATTTCCATTATTACAAAAAAATTATTCTGGACAGCACCACTCTAAATAGAAGGTGAAATTTTAATTGGGAGATAAGATGAAATACGTAAAATAATTTGGGAAATCTTAGTACACTAAAGATCGAACCTCATTAGAACGTGTACTTCCTGAGAACATGGCAATCTCTAAGAATTCAGGCTTTGACCTCAGACTATAGTTCTCCCTGTGCTGACTTAGGATGTGTTGCTTAACTTCTGTTGCTTTATCTGTAAAAGGGGGATGAAAATAGTATCAACTTTATGGGATGGATATAGGGATTAAATGAGGTAATCCATGAATGATGCTTAGACTAAAGTCTAGAATATGACCTTCAAGAAAAGTTAGCTATTACTCTTATAATATACATTAATGTAATAAAGGTTTTCTTTCTTAAAAGTTGTATCCCTTGGGGGGCGCCTGGGTGGCTCGGGTCATGATCCCAGGGTCCTGAGATCGAGCCCCATGTCGGGCTCCCTGCTCGGCAGGAAGCCTGCTTCTCCCTCTCCCGCTCCCCCTGCTTGTGTTCCCTCTCTCGCTGCGTCTCTGTCAAATAAATAAATAAAATATTAAAAAAAAAAAAGAAAGAAAGAAAAAGTTGGGTGCCTGAGTGGCTCAGTCAGTTAAGCCTTGGACTCTTGATTTCAGCTCAGGTCATGACCCCAGGGTTGTGAGATGGAGCCCTGCCTGGGGCTCCAGGCTCAGCCCAGAGTCTGCTGAGGCTTTGGAAAACACCACCAAACAATATCGACTGTTGTTGCAAATGTGTGCAGTATTTTTCTTACATAACTATCTAAAGATAATTTTGTAGGGAGAGGGGTGGAGGGATAGGGTAACTGGGTGATGGACATTGGGGAGGGTATGTGTTGTAATGAGCACTGGGTATTATGTAAGACTGAGGAATCACAGACCTGTACCCCTGCAACAAATAAGACATTATATGTTAATTAATTGAATTTAAATTAAAAAATTAAAAGGAAAAACAAAAAAATAAAGATAATTTTGTAATGAAGTGTGGCTAGTGTGCCTTTTTTTTTTTTTTTTTAGGGAGGAAGAGTGTATGCCTGAAGTAGGGAGTGGGGGGAGGAGCAGAGGGAGAGGGAGAGAATCTTAAGCAGAATACATGCTGAGCCCAAGGTGGGGGCTGGATCTTAGGACCCTGAGAACGTGACCTCAGCAAAATCAAGAGTCAAATGCTCAACCAACTGAGCTACCGAGGTGCCCCTAGTGTGTCTGTTTTTAAAGCACAACACTCACTGGTTATCTTCCCTTGAACTGGAATTCCAAGAACATCAGCACATACTGCTCTAATACATTGCCAGAATGAAAGAGGCTCCTTGGATAAGCAATGAGCTCACAACCACTGAAGGAACTGAAACTCCTGTGGAAAGCAGTTTTCTCCATAAAGGTGTTGGAGAGGAGATTTGTGTATTGGGTGATGAGTTTAATCTATGGGCACCAAGAAAGTTCACTCTTCAGTGGTTAAACCTATCCTTCTCTTCCTAGCATGGAAACATCTTTCACACACCTGACTTAGGTTGGTTGAGACACAGGAGTTCCATGGCAGGTAAATGCTAATGACATCTGTGGAGGTCTGTGGGTAGCCATCTTGGACCTAAAGAGAGAGAATTGAGTTCACTATTTAATAGTGGTTCATTTTTACAGCTGCTATCATTGGTCCAGCACATCATAGATACCCCTTGAATTTTGAGAAAACTGTAAATAGGTCCTTTTGTGGATGGGCCTAGGCTCAGTGCTTCTCTCAGTTAGTTATAAAGTCTAAGGAGGAGGTAGAAATCTCCTTGTCATTAGAAAGGAGGAGGCTGCCAGAGTGTATTGAGAAAGAAATACTGACGTCTATAGAAATGGATTGCTATCTGGGTGCCTGTCAACACATAGAACTAATGGCTGATTATTTAGATTAAGCCCAATAAATTTGTCCTTTTCTTTTATTATTCACAGTTCATTGAAAAGTTACCTGTTCTTGGAGAGTTTCTGCTGTTTTATTTCTGCTGAAAAGTCTGTTCAGTAGCTTGAGAATTCATTACATATTTTCTAAATTTTCTGGAAAACTTAGTCAAATAAGCAGGCACAAAGACACTGTAGCTAAGATATAATTTAAAATTCTGAAATGAACCCCTAAACTGAACTGGTAGTTGTTGCTTGGATTTATTAGATGAAAGAAATTTACAGTGCAATAAGCTGAAAAGGGTTTTTTTCAAAGGACATAATTATAGATCCAAAAAAGTTTGAAAAATATATATGTAGGGAAGTCCCAGGTTCCGCCCCACCCTGCCAATGCCCCAGTTGTCCCTCAATGGTAAAATTTTGGGTAACTCCACTAATATCAAAACCAGAAAAATGACATTGGTATGCTCTTTCAAGCTTAGTTATATTTCATCAGTTTTACATACACTCTTTTTTAAGTATTTGTGTGTCCTATACAATTTTATCATCTGTACAGATTATTCTACCACCACCCCAATAAGACACAGGATTGTTCTATTACCATAAAGCTACCATGACCTACCCCTTTATAGT